GGAAGTGGCTTAAGCTTCTCAGTGCTGCGCTTTAACCCGCTGCGCCACCAGGGAGGGCCCGAGATAACTATTTTTGAATATGATTTTACAAAAATTAAAATGCTTTGATTTAACATTTATTAATTAGACATAAGAAACAGACTCAGGTGACTCTGAAGTAGAATGAAGGGAACTTTTCATAATTTGACAGGAATAATTAATCTTTATGGTACTCTAGGGTGATGGTCAGCCTTTTGCTTTGTTGGCCTCTGTGGATATCACCTGCCTCCTTGAATGCAGGAGATGCTTGGAAGCATGGGCTTGGGGGACGCATGTCTGATTGTGGTCAAGTGGAGTATGGTGCGGGCGTGGGCTAGTGTGCACACCTGAGCCTTGAGACTGAGGCTATAAGGGCATCATCGCTCAGCCAGGCCGACTGTGGCAGAAGGAATAGGAGAAGATGAGCTACGGCTGCAAGAGGAAGAGACTCCCAGGCAATGCCAGAGAAAGATTCCCTCCAGCCGGAGGCTCCTGTCCATCCTGCTCCTGGTTGCCTCATTGAAGGTACATACATTTCTGTTTCTTTTAAATATCTGTGTTGATATCTGCATATGAAAACCAGTTTTATTTACAGGCCCTAGGAACTATTGCCTAAATGTCGTATGGAGTTGGGTAGCAAGTGACTCAACAATTTGTTTATGAAGATCTGGTATGATGTTATGTGTGTTTTACTTCTGTCAACAGAAAAAATGGCTAAAATATTTAAATGCAAGTAATATCCCAGGTAGAAATAATTTGATTTATTTCTTAATGTTTATTCTCTGTTATTTTTTAAATTTCCTACTGCAGATAGAATTACTATTGAGAGAAAATGAAATTCAAAAATTTACAGGGACAGCTAGAGAGTAGCTAAATAGTTTTAAGAAAAATAGGTAGTGCTTCTAGAGGTTGAGGAGGTAAAAACGTAGGCACATTCCTATGACAGTATGTTTTTCACATGGAATTACAATAATCTGAAATTAACACTGATTAGTAACCAGGAGTTACTAATTCACAACAACCTAAAAGTAGGACAATTGTTAATATTCTCATTTTTTAAATTAAGAAACAGAAATGAAATAGTGCCTAGAAGCAGTTTTTAGGGCAAAATTGATTTTAAACTAGTAAAACACCTAATCACTCAATAAGAAGCCCTAAAATTAGCCAATACAATTCCTAAAGAGTATAAAAAGGCTAGTATATTTCATTTAAACAATTACAAGACAGAGAAATTTTCAGACTCTACCTTAACTATTCACAACAAGCAAAAACACTATTATGGTAACTATACAACAGCACTGTTAAGTATTACTACATAACCAGATCTCATTTTTAGTTTGTTACCTTTTTCCCAGAAAGCCAAGGCTGTGCCTGTAGCATCAGAAAACTTTCCCCATTTAGCCTGGTACTTTCAACTGAGTATAGTGTTGTCCAATAAAGAAACCCTCCTACTGAGTCCACCACCATATCATTCACGAGCAACTTCACATGAGTCACAATGTCCGTATGTCCTGTCAACAATGACTGCCTTTGTATCTACAAAACATAACAGTGTGGTCAGTTAAAGATTTTCAAGTAACATCATTAGTTCTGAATTTATTCAACTGGTATTTTATTGCAACCATGTGTAATTTCATTTGTCATTTATGCAACCATAAAAATTATTAACCCCATATGCTGAATAGTATGCTAAGCCTTGGAACAGAGCAGTTGTGTCTGCCTTCAAGCGACTTATCTCTTTATGCCACTAAAATGAAGGGAGGCAAAATATTTTGAGTTTAAATGTTTGTTCTTCCTAATCCATCCAACAATGAAAGCACTGCTGAATAAAAGTATATTTGATTGGATTCCCAAAGTTGTGTACATCCTGGTAAGTGACGTCTATACTTGCTCCAAATATTAATTACTGCCACTTCGAAGTACCTGTCATATACTAGGCATTGTATCTATTTACCTTTAAAATAGTAGTACTGATGACCCCCAACAATAATTCTATAAGGGAGTTTTTATTCCCTACTTCTACACAGCTAAATAGCTTCACAAAAGTTATTCTTCCTGAAGCAGGACAGTTTTCTAAGACAGAACAAATACTTGATACCAACATGAATATCTTGATTTCTAATTACTCCTTTAAAACTAATTTTAACCTTCCCATTTTAGGGCACATTCTCTGATTAACCTCACTCAAATCTACCCTGATTGCATAACGTTGGCACTTAATGAATTCATACTATACTACATAGTTGGTCTTGTATGCTTCTATTTTAATAGGCATTTTAGCTGATCAAGAAAGTAGGGACAGGTAGTTATAGCACACAACCCTGAACATACTAAGTCTCTTCATGTATATAATGAAAGGGTGAAATTTTTTGTATGTGAATTATATCTCAATAACACTAATAATTTTTATTAAAAGGAGCAAATATATGCCTATTTATATTCCCAATTATGCCTACTCTAAAAGTCATCAACATATTGGTAATAGATAAATGGTTATTGAATTGAATAAATAAATGGACAACAAACAACCTCCAGATTAGACAATTACTTCACTAGCATGTTTCTTGATCTGTCAAACCTGTTTTTGCATCATTAACTCAGTGTGCTCTACACAGATCTTCACTTCTCCTCCAGGTCTTCTCTCCACCCTACACTGCGCCCCAGGGCTGACATTATGAGCTGCCTCGACAGGGCTCACTTGTTCTCTGGCTTCAGTAAGGCTCAGCCAAGGGAAGCAATGGCAGAATAGCAGAGGGCAGAGGAAAGAGGGTTGGAGGATTGGCCCATCACACCTTCCCAGATTTACATTTTGGTGTGATTGGGCTTCATGTCAGAAACTCTTACAGCTATTGTCTTCCCAGATTCTTGCCTTTCTTCCCTTTGCCCCTTAATACCTCAAGGTGGTTACATCTTTCCAAGTTTACTAGTCCAGGGATGCTTCACCTCCCTTTATCACTTCAGTAGCCCTCTCCACATCTTTGACAATGGTCCCTTCACTTAATTTCCTTTAACCATGCCTTTGCAGCCATCTTTCTCTGAATACTGACCCACATATGAACATTTCAATAAATTTTCTTTTAAGGTATTACTGAAAATATTTAACTACTACATCAAACAGTGAAATAAAATTTTCTTTATACATTTTAATTTATTTAGACATAATCATGAACTGTAATAGCATAGGTTTTACACAAGTATGAAAAAATCAAGAAAACAACATGCAAGTCACTGAGGCGCATGGGCATTGTTCTAAAGCATCCAGTATGCGGAATATTAACTTACCACATATGTCTTCCCAGCCCAGTAGAGAAAATGACCCAGCCATTCGAAAGCTAAAGCCCCTGCCCCCACGATGTTGGGTACATGATAATTCTCTGAGACGTCAGTCCCATTCAGTAGCCACACGTAAACATCACCTCTCATGTCGCTGTAGTAGAGGCTGTTGTTATACCAATCCATGTCTTAAAACAAAATGGAGTGGTCACAGTTACCTTTCATGTATGCTAGCATAAATATCATCAGTCAGCAGATCACACCTGCACCTCAATGTAATCTTAAAGCACCTACATATTTAGACATTCACTGGGGCTTCAAAATTTCAGTCATGGAAAATTTCAATGATGTTAACCCAAAATCTTAATCCTTGGGACTGGGGACTAGAACAAATCTTCATTTGAGCACTTCCTTTTGGTCAAAGTTTGCCCCAGGCACTTGCATATACTTACCTCACTCACCTAATTCTGAAAGCAAAACAAGAACTAGGGTACAACCCCATTTTCTGACATGGCAAACCCAAGACTCAGGGAGATAATATGTTCTCTTCAAGGTATCACAGATGGAAAGAGGAGAAGCTCATATTCAAGCCAACTCTAAAACATTCTTTCCCTTCACATCACACTCCCTCTTAAATTGAACTACATTTTGGTCATATATACTGCTGTGCTTTTAATAGCCAATTTAGCAGATAAAATATATCTTTAGAGAAGATGTCATCTTCAGACAAGATCACTATTATGCCAAGTGGCATGAAAACTTCATTTTAATGTGTTCTGGGAAAAATTACTCACTTGTTACTTAATAAGAAATCTTTCACCTAATTTAGAACTTCATGCAGTCATTCCCTAAATTCATAAATTCATAATAAATTCCATATAGCTGTATTAGTAGAACAAGATAAACTTTTATTGTGAGACAATATTGATAAATCAAAATATGTGAGGATTTCAAAGCCTTCTTCAAATGAGCATAAGTCAGTAAATAACCTCACACTTTGTGAAATGACAAATAACATTCCTACTTGAGAACTGACATTTTTTAATAGTATCACTGGCAAGATAGTCAATATTTTTTCCTTTCATTCCTTTCATTATTTCATTATTAATATCAAAACACCCAGCTCTTTTGATTTATTAAAGAGCTTAGAAGTCTTCTGAGTAGAAACCTGTCCTCCAAGTGAACAAAGAATTTGGTGTTTACCTGACACATTTCCTATACCAGAGGATAAGAATTCTCCTGGGCCAAAGCTATTTAATGGTTTACTCCAAAGTCCATCTTCTTTCACTGCCATGATAAATGGTGGCTCTTTAGCTGTTTGGTAAATAAAAAAAAAAAAAACTAAACTAAATATCATTGAAAATATACTTTTAAAGGCACATCTCTTATACACCAAGATTTCCTTCATAAATTAAAAGGATATCAACATTCTAAAATCTACTATGGAAGGATATGAATAATCACATCTGCTTAATAGAAGTAGCTATTATATTAAATACTTTGTTTTTTTACACAAGTCTCTGAAATTGAATCTGAAGGAAAAAGTGTGTGGTAATGTAGCCCCTATAAACAAGATCACATTGTAACAATCATTTGTTTTGTTTTGGATATTGGTTACCACAATGCCACTTAGCTCACCCAGATACAACTGTGATAAAAGTAGTCAAACAGCACAGTTATCTTCCATTTTCCTTCAGCCAAGAGGACAGAATTCAACATAATTCCCAGTCCCTCAACTTTTTTCAAAAGGTGCTATTTTTTAAAAATAGAAAAAAGAAAAAGTCAAAAGAAAACTATATAGCTTCATGAAAGACATCTTGGAAGGTTTTAAATAGCAAGTTTTCAGAAGTAAATCAAAAGTCATACAATGCCTTACTTGCTTTCCTGATCCCATTCTCAGAAAGTCACTTATTCAAAAGGCCAACCCACTCTTATTCTACTTTCTCTACTATAATGAGGTGAGGAATTTTAAAGGGCATAGGAAATAATCTTTTTTTGGTCAGAATCACCCTCTAAACGAAAGACATTTTCTCACCTGGCACCAGAGTAGTACCCACTGAGGGCTCTGACCAAGGCCCTGGCCCCTTGGGAGAGCTTGCTCTCACAGAAACCATGTATTTCATAGCACTCAGCAGCTGGGGTACATTAAGCATGGTCCCACTTATGTTAGGAAACAAATGTGTGATTTCTGGGAAGTCTTGGCTTGATATTTCCACGTCATAAGTCCAGTTCTGCCAGGCAGAAGGGCCTAATCAGAAGAGTTAAACAATGTTACTGACAATAATGACATCAGCAAGAGCAAACAAAGATTATCAGTGTGTTTATTACCTCTTGAATGGAAAGGTAACTGGGCCATAATACCTGTCACACCAATAACCATCAGAGCTATAACAAGCACCATGTCTGTCACACCCATCCTACTAAAGGAGCACACACATCACGCCTTTGAAGGAAACCTTATTTCCAACAAATTGGAGGGCACTATTCCTCAATCAAAACTGCACACTTGTGCTATAGAATTGGCAGAGGAATTCTCTGTTAGACTACCAGGTCTAACCAGGTTCAACCACGTTCTGAGTAGACAAATTCTGAAATGATAAATTGCTAATTTAAGTTCCAATGTTTGTATAGTACTTTTTCTCCTAGAAGCACAAGCCAAATTAAAAAAAAAAAAGTATTTCTTTTTAGCCATCTTTGAGATATAGAACAAACAGGAAAGTTAACTTCATCTAAAAGCTTTTAAAAAGTCTGTTTGCTAAATACTTTAGGGGGCCAGTGGTTGGCAAACTACAGCCCATAGGACAAATTGGCCTACTACCTGCTTTGAAAATTGTAACATGGAACACAGGCACAGTTACTCATTTACATATTATATATGACTATTTACACACTATAAGGGCAGAGTAGCTATGACAGATACCGAATGACTCACAAAGCTGCTAGCCATTCTGCTAACAAATGAAAATATCATCCTTTGAATCCATGGAGGCTGACTCCAAAATCTGTCATCCACCATACAAACTCTTCTCCAGAGATAGAAGTTCAAATTTAGAAAGTTTTAAGGAATTGTTCAAATCCATGCAAGATCTCAATGCATGAAAATCTCAAACAGAACACTATCCCCCTGGCTTCTACACTGGCTCAGACTAGAATGCCATGCCTGGCTCCTCCTAGACACTCAAGAAATGCTTAAGACATTCTATTGCTGTATACCTGATAAATATGTATATCTTCCTAAAGGTAAACTAATAATACAGAAAAAAAAAAAAACGAGAAATACTTGTGTGTGTATGTGTGTGTGCGTGTGTATGTGTATAGGACTGGAGTATAGGCAAAAGGTTCAGGGGGGTGAGAGGAATCAATAGTGGGGAGCAGAACAGGCAAATTTGCTGTTCCAATTATGGGTTAGCTCCTGTCCTCCATAGAAGTCAGGCCGTAGCAGTGATAGTGCTGAGACAACCTCTAAGCCACCAGAGAGGCCCTAAAAACATTTTATTTTTAAAGTTGAGTATTCCTTCTGGATGACAGAATCAAGTGATAATAAAATCACATGTGGGAGGCCCTCTCTGGTGCTTTATAAAAACCCGCTGGGGTTTTATAAAAAAAAAAAGCTAAAGCCACTTCAGCATGAGTTCAATTTCCACCTGGAGGTGGCAGACCTCTCCTGACCTGCCAGCTGCTCCCCTCAGTAATGTATTACAGTCAATCTGCCTGTTCTGCTCCCCACTCTGTCTCTGGTGAATCCTCTCACTGCCCCTGCACCTCTGGCCTGTACCCCAGTTCTGTATACATAAATAAATAAATCTTTAAAAAAAAAAAAAACACGCACATGTGGGAACTCAAAATTGAGTCACAATATATCATTCAAGTTTTCCTCTCCTTCAGCAAGGCCAGTAGCCACGCTGAGGACAGGGCACACTCACTGGCTCCTATGGCGAGGGCAGGAGGCTTCCACTGAACCAAGGCCTGGTGGGAGCCAAACAGAACTGACAGCTGCTGTGGACGGCCAGGTAGCGGATATGGCTGGGTGTGAGAGCCGAAGATGACCAAGTTACTGAATCCAAATTCTTCTATGTGACTTAGGTCACATCCCACAATGAACTCATTAAAAGATGAAGAGTCTTGTTGGAAAACGGCCTTTCCATCTGTGACCAGGAAGTCATTGTTTTCACAAGCAAAGCTCTTCACTTCAGCAAAGACAGTTTGAGGGAGGACAAGATGGGAAGCAGAGCCATCCAGAAATGTTGACATGAAGCCGTGGGCCGTGTCATTGAAGTAAATGATTCGCTTGGACTGTGGCTTTACTGCAAAGTCCTTTAATTTGTAACTCTCCACAACACGCACCACTTCAGAGCCCTGACCAGGTGACACGGGGAGATCTACTCTATAAATGCCATCTCTCAGGAGATAAAACACATACCTGACAAAGGAGCAAAAGAAGTCTGGCATGATTCAAGGCAATGGTAGATGAGTAAGCTATTCAGTTCATTGCTTTATCCTGTTGTGATATCAAAACCATATATCTCTGGAGTGCCTAAGTACAAGATTTCCCAAGGTGCAAAAGGTTAAGTGTATTTACTAAAGGTAGCCCCCATTTATTTAAATTAGAATTTGGAACACTGGAAAAGTTCCACCTCAATTTTAATGCTTTGAGAAAAAGAAGCCACCAAAGACTTCACTAAGGTGCCTCTTGAATGAATGATTTAATTGATGACAACTATCCTCATAATGAGTCATTTTGTGTATTTGCTAGTAACAAAGTTACATTTCATAGGTTTTTTACTTAGGATTTTACAAATGAGTAAAATAAGATCCAGAGCACAAAAGGACTTGCCCTAGGTCACAGAATATTTTTTAAAATATTTTATGATTCAATAGTTTACACAATCCTAAGACATTAAAAATGAGTAGCTAATAAATTAATATGAATAGAAAAGTTTGATTTTTACATTAATCTTACTTATTATTAACTTGCTATTATGGTAATATTTAAGAAATAAAACCCCAAAACAACCTCCTGTTTTCATCCTTCACATGTGCATTTGGTGATCAAAAAATACATTCACAGTAAACACCTCATTTCATCTTCAAAATAACCCAGTTGGTAGGTGTTATTTTCTTCCCTATGTTAAAAGAAAGCTAAGTCACAGACCTCAAGTTGCTTGTTCAAGATAGCACAACTAAGCTCAAATATTTCCATTTCCTTTGCAGTAGAGGGGAAAATAGTTATTTGTAATGGAAAATTCTCCCTTGTTATTAGCCATCAACTCCTGTCTCTCATGTTGGATGCTACCAGCATCCTCAATAAGTATGTCTCTTGACAGTTGTGAGAACCAAAGTCAAAAAATAAATTGGAGCTGAACTGCTCCACAAATTAAAAATAGGGGAAACAGAGGCAGAAAGAGGTTCTCCTAAGTGTATTGCCAGGGCCATAAAATCGAAAATGACAACACCACTACCTGAGCTCCAGACATGAGGTTTTCTCATGTACTCATACTTCACTCTGAAGGAGAGAGGGCAAACTACTTAACTAGAGAAGTTGTAGATCAACTTTGAAAAAATTTCCTCCTGGCTCTAGAGAATGAAAACTTTGCCTAGATTTAATTAAATTTGAAATGAGATGCCTAGATTTCTTCATCTGGTAATATGATGTTTCTTTAGCAAGTAAGTTTCCCAAAGATGCTTGCCAATGGAAAAGAATTCATATTTATAAAACTAACACTTACCCATTGTATGCATCAACCACAATTTTTTGAGGTGCATTAATAGAGGGAGGAGTAATTTCCTTACTGTTTGAACAGTTCTCTAAATCACAGACACATACCTAGAGAATAAAAAATACATCAGAAGGATTAGTGTCTATATTCAATAAAGCCAGCCATTATTTCTCCAGGATCTGTTTGTTTCATGTAGTCACTGATAACTTCTCAAAACATTTTTTTAAAGCCACTGAAAGTCAGTTTTATATCCATTTTTCTAATGAGTTTATATCATAGTGGCATTAATGAATGCCTATTTTCCAGACTTGTGAAGACTTTCAACTAAATATTAACTTAAACTGTAATTTTAATATTTAAGTTGACCCAAGATTATGGTCTTCCAGCCATAGTGATAAACCTGTCCACTGTGATAAGAAAAAAACTTGAAATATATCAAGACTGTGTCTTCTCAAAGATTTCAGTGAGACTGTATTTTCAGAAACTGACTAAAGTTACCCCTAGTTTTATATAATTTAAATTCTTGCAGCCAGTTCTGATCACAATGGGCATTCCCACCAATGAGGTGACCACCACTATCATACCAGCATAAATACATGACTCTGAAAAATCAAGATAAGGGTGATAAAATGAAAAGTAAGGACTAGTACTAGGTAATATGAAGATACTCTTATTGACCCACTGATGATTCATTTGTTTATGAATGTCTACAACACAGTCCTTAATGAGTATTTATTGAATGAAACAGTATTTTTCGTAAAAATGTATATGACTATAAATGTCTAGCTATTCAGTCTTTCTAAGTTTTCAGACTAACCAGCTCATCCATGATGAAATACATTTTCTGATAAAGCCAGTCTACAGAGATGGAAGAAATGATTCCTGAACCTCTGTAAAAAGCTCTTAGATCAGACACACTGGTCATGTTGGCAGCCTCCTTCACCCATATGACAGTTCCTTCAGAGAAATAAACAACTTGCTGGTGGACATTAACTGATATTCCTGGAAAAGGATAACAAATACATGCGAATTACAATAAAACAAACAGCACAAAAACTTACACAAAAGAAAATGTATTTCTTTAGATTTTAATAACAAGATATAAAATAGAACTGAACCTGGATTTTTTTTTTACCTTAACAACATATTTATATTATACTTGACCTGTAATATTATGGTGGATAGCAGCTGACTGAAGGCAATGTGCTTCATCTACTAAATGTTTTAAAGATCTCTTTCTTAAAGAAGTTTTTCTGGATAAAAATAGCCACTGTTCCTCTTCTTGAACTGAAAAGCCAATGACCATAGTTTAAGACAAATAAGCCAACCATTTGCACATAGACACAAAGGCTAACACCACCCTTCAAAAAACTTGGGAACTAGTACTTAAAAAGAAGTTGATCGGATGATTTTTTTCTGAAGACACTGGGGCATTTCCTTTGTGATGTAAATCACATTATTCTACGATTGGTAGAAACTAGTATAATGTCAATCAAATAGGACTTATGTGTATATGTCCCTAAAATTCCCCACAATAGTATCACATGTGGCACCATTCCCAACAGCATTGCCTCAACAGGAGTCAGCATATTATCTTTGACTTCTTGATAGAGGTGGTCTAACTTAGGCCTAAGTAGGCTATTGAAAAACTCACACATAAGACAGGTGGTGGTTGTCTTCAATATCTCTCCTTTTGATATAGGAGGAAAGTCCGTAAAGGAATGAAATATAATGACTGCAGAGTTCTTCCTGATGCCCTATTCTACTAGACATTGATGCAGTGTGCTTTGTTGAATACTTTCAGGGCAATTAATAAATGTTATGCAATAACAGTAATAACAACCTTAAGCCTACTCTGTATTTAATTCATCCATTGGCCCTGCTTTTGGCATATCAAAAATAGCTCCCCTTTTCTAGAGTCTAGTAATAGCCAGAACACTAAAACCTAATGATTGATGACATGCAGTACCCACTGGCCTAGTCATGTGAAGATTAGGGTAAGGAGTGATCGTATCAGAAAATAGGGTTCTAGCAAAAATAGAAAACTGACTTCTAGAATTCTGAATCTTGGTGTGTTATTTAAAATACCTTTTCTAATTTCCCAGAAATATTTCCAGTGCTTCTTAGAAAGCATTTTCATCTGGTTTTTGCTGACATAGGCATCATGTGTTAAGTATCCCATTTCTCAAGATCTATTGTTAAAATGCCAAAGCCCAAAAAAGTGGCATGAAATTATTACAAAAGTTAATGTGGTATATCGACTATTCAGAATGGTGCCAAGTGATTTATTAAGTCCATAGACATTTAACAACCTTGTAGACTAGAGAAGAAAAGGATATCTGATATGTATTAGAAGATCATCAATACTAAAAAATGAGGAATAGCTCAGAAGGTTATATGGACACCCTAAATGTATAGCTATCTTTTTTTTTTCTTTTGTGAATAGATATCTTACCATTACCAGTGATTTCAACTTAAATCAAAGTTGCTTAGGCTCCTTTTGTTAATTCCTAATTTTTTTATTCTAATATTTAAATTCCTAAATTCTAGTGTGAAAAGGTATTCAGTACCCAAAAGATAAGTGTCCCCTTTGGGCAGAAGAGATAAGGCCTTGAGGCCCACCAGTGCCCCAGGAGCTGTGAGCTCAGCCTTGCCACCCCTTCAATTCCCTTGTATCAGAAAGAGCATCCCTGGGTCATACCTGCTGAGAATGGAGTGGTAATATTAGATTCTGTTTCTGGCCCCTCGCCAACTTCATTTACTGCTGCAATAGAAAACCTATTCCAAAAATAATTTAGAGAGCTGTTTCACATGGCATGGTGTGAACATGAGATAAAAATAGAAAGAGCAATAACATTTCTGTTTAAAGGACAATGTGGCAATACATGTATCTAATTACTTGGTGCCACTTCTCAGCACTAAAATGACCATTAATCACATCCTTGTTTACATTCCCCATAGGATAACTCAGGGTCACAGAGGTCAAAAATTGAACTCTGCTATCTGCATGACCCCTATTCCTATCCTAATTTAAAGAGGCCTTAGTAAATGTTAGAAAAGCTAACAACAATAAAATGATCCCTCAGTGGTTAATAACTCAATAGTTAATAAAAAACACCATTAACAGAATGTCACCTTTATTTTTTTCATGTTGGATTAAATGAGAAAATGATATTCATGAGATTGAGGATGTCTTTGTTAGTTCATTTTTATAGGTTCCTCTGAATATAATAGAAAAATACATAAGAATGTTTTTGTTTAAGATGGCATAATCTAATAAATATATAAACTTGAAGAAAATCACAATAACTTCAACCCAACATCAAATGCCAGTGGAGAAAAAAAAAAGCCAATGTTACTACTCAAAATAAACTATTTTTAGCCATATTTCTTAAATAATTGTTACACCTGCAGACATGTTAATTACATTTTCTTGCAACATATAATTCTTACCTGTAGGTGGTATTTGGTAGAGTAGAGTAAAACTGGAAACTGGTTCTCTGTGTCCCTGAATCTAATTTTTGATTTTTGCTAATCAGTTGTAAGTTATAACCCAAAATAGGTCCGCCTGGAAACTGGGGTGGAGCCCAGCTGACTTCCACTGTATCAGGACTTGAGCTCTCAATATTTGTAATGACAGGAGCGGTTTCTGGAACTGGAAGAGACAATGGTGACAAAATGAGCAGAAAAATTTACTTACAGTGTTTATGTTTTTAAATAAGATAGAAAAATGTCTTTATTGAGATGTTTAATCAATATTCAAAATAAGTGAGAGAAGGTAGTAAGAGATGTGTGAGCTGCTACTCTTTATCCCTAACTTATACTCGTTAGCTACTTTCCTAAAGAATCACTCAATTATTTTCCTCCTCACATCTATTTATGAAATAAAATTAAATGTGGAAGTATAAAAATTTTAGAAGAGGATAAAAATTATTTAAAAAATTGTCAAGTTTCCATTGATCTAAATAAGTGGAAAGGTGGGATGGAGTCCAGTTAGGAAGAAAAAGAGGCTGTAACAAACCCAGAGTCAATGATTAACATGAACTGAAAGAAGTGGGTCTTTGGGACTTTTCCCTCAGGAGGATGAGATGGCCTGGCCAGTTCCAGCTGAAGATCCAGTCAGATAAGCCTGAATTAGAACAGTTTGCTCCACTTCGCTGGCATCAGCTCTGCCAACCCAGGCTATATATCTACCTCAGCCCAGCTCCCAAGGCCCCTCAGAATCCAAGTTGATTTAACAGCATGCCTTCTATTGCAGTGGATTAAAGGAGCATGCATTAATTAGCTAAGGCTTCACTCATAGGCTTTATAAGTTACCTATGTGTCAAAGAACAGAGAAAAAAATCAAACGATCTAACAACCTGTCTTTCACCCATGTCTCTACCTTTTTTTTGTACCTTGAATCTCTTTACTTAGAAAGTCATATTAGATGTCACTTTGCTCTTGGTAGACTCTTCTTCTGAACACTTTTGGCAAATGTTCTATATCACCCCTGACTCATTAAAGGTGGGAGAAGAAATATTGTTCAGCCCCTCTCCTTGGGTCAGTTTTAAAAGATCTTTTTTTTTTTTCAATTTTGTCTTAGTTATTGTACTTGAATATCTTTTGTTTAAGATAATGTAATAGTCTATTTTTACATCATTTTGTACCTTTTCCATCTCAGTTGTAATGCCCATGAGCTTCCCATCACCAAATCACCATGTGCCATCACCATAGTCCAGTGTGCTCCCCCCTACCCACCGTTTTTGATCCCATTCCCCACTCCACCCCCGTAAAATGTCTCTGGTATATAGTTGTTCATTATTATCATTTTCTTGCCTGGTCTTTTATACTCCTGCTATGAGTGAAACCATCCAGTATTTTTCCTTTTCTTTTTGGCTTATTTCACTATGCATGATCCCTTCCAGCTCCATCCATGTTGCTGCAAAAGGCATGTGTTTATCTTAGAAAGACCTTTTAATAAATCAATCCTGGTCAGGTTAGACTAGTAATAACCACTTGACTTGATTAAGAAATTGCTTTCATAATAACCCCAACTAAGTGGCAATAATACCATCTAAAATCATGTATTTTCTAAAGCTAAAAGATTCTAAGACATGAGGCAATGAAAACAAAATAGGTGATTTTATAAGCTTTGATGCAGCTAAAAGTGAAAGAGAACTGAAGCGTTAGCTGCTATCCAGGGAAGGGATACCCACTATAAGGTCTGGAATGTCTAGAGGTTATATGGACTTGCTATTGATTGAGCTTCATTGAGCTTGATTCTGACCACTTTATTGAATGCTATCATCTGACTCTCCTTCCTTCATGTCCCCACTTCTAATCCCTTAAAGGTCAGACCCTGCTCAAAATAGTCTCCTTACCATAGTACAAAACACCTTCCCACTTCCAATGTTCTTTCCTTATTTACAATGGTTTCTGCTTATGGTATTCCTCCTTCATCATAAGGTGAGCTCCCAAGGCCGGGATATTACCATACCTTTTGGTATGGTAATAACTTAGACTCTACTTAGCACATAGGTTCTCATCTGCTGAATGGATTTCATTTTTATTTTTTAAATTAAAACAAGTTAAACCAACATTTTGGAATAATGTCCTTATTTCACAAGCACTGTGTGACATCATACCTCCAGAAGGATGAGTTCTGTAACTGGAACTTGGGGGAGAATATAACTGCAACTGGGCTGTGAAAATCCAAACCACTCGAAAAGTATACTCAGTGAAGGGATGCAGCAGCTGTACCACATATGAGACATTGGAAACGGCCTAGATCAATGAGAGATCAATAAGCATTAATAGCATCATTACTGTACTGACTTGAGCACACAGACTTACAGACAATAGACAGCTTTCTGGCTATTAGATAATCCAGGGCCTGCCAGACCAAATAAAGAAGCAGCTTGATTATCAAAGCTGAGTTATCTATTAGTCAGTCTGTATAACTCACACCAAGTCTTTCCTTGTTCAAAATTGCAATATTATAGACTCAATTATGTTGAATCTAAGCTTTGATTTTTCTAAACTAATATACTTGGTGTCTTGGGACTATTTTTCTTTCATCTTTTTTATGCTTTCCTAAAAAGCAGAGTACCAAGTGACCACTCTACACAACACTTCCAACTGGAACAACTGTCTGTGAGAATCTTCTCCTTGCTCTCCTTCTAAGCTGAAAGCATTTCAGACAATGACCAATGACATTTGTAGTTGGTTAGTGAAGCTATGCTGAAGGAAAAAAAATCACAGTATCCAATGTTTCCCTCATAAAATAAAAGATTTAGCATCAACATGTTACAGAGTAGCAAAAATTAAAGTATATCCAATCCACCCATTCATTTTATGAATATCTAGAATACTCGAATGCTTATATTTCTATATAGCAATATGGCATTTTTAGTAATCCAGGGGGAAAAGCCTGTGTGTACGTACATAAGCAACTTTTCATACCTCAGTGTATGTCCAGCTTCCTGGAAGCTGTGTGTATTTCCACTGAATGATATATTTTACTCCAGAGATGTTGGCAGGTTTCCATCGGAGTGTCACACTATGACTTCCAATGGAAGAAGCAAAAGGTGCAGTGGGGAGATCAGCATTTTCTGGGAAGAAAACAAGATTTCATCCATCATACACTCTTGCCTGTCAAAGCAGGAGCACTTGTGTGTGTTTCATCTCTTGTCCTCAGCAGTCTTTTGCCACAGCTACATCTTCCCACAACCATTCACCTGATTAGCACAGCTAGTTCTATGCCTCCTTAGAATATTTGAAATGCTGTTGGCTCCCTATAAGATGATTTTGATGCCCTGGGGTACTAGAGCACATAGTTTGGGATCACAAAATATAAATTTTATTCACAGCTATCTCACTGTACACATTAAGGAAAAAATGTAATATTCTTATTTCTCCACAGATATGTCAAGGAGAGTGTTTTGTGGGATGCTGAAGTAAATTAGGATAATGACTTACTTCTAGTCTATAGCCCCACTCTCCATCATTCCTGAGAGTCAGGAACAAGCAAGGGTTACAATGCATGAGAAAGAGCCAATCTTCTTCCAGCTGGAATGAATAGTCTCTCAGTAGGCAGACCCTCTAAGGAATTTTGGAAACAATAGTTTCTAACATCTAGGCTATGATTTATGAAAGCATTGGTCCTTCAGAAACCTCCAGAGAATTAACACACCAGGACAAAGCCATTTAGATATACCCAACCTGTTCTAACATCAAGTTACACTCAAGAACCCCCCTCTGACACAAAATTTATGACCCAGATTGCATAGCTTCAAAACATTTTTCAAAACATTTTTCAAATATAGGTGAGCCATACCTATAGTAGGCGCACTATTAAATAACTGCTAGCTGAACCTTAAAATACACGTGAAAACAAAGCATTCCCACAATTTCAATTCTTTAAAACAGTGGTTTTTCTGACATAAAATTGGCTTTGGTTTCACATTTGTTTTATTAAGATAGAAGTGATTAAAACAACAACAACAAACCTGGGACTTGGTTAAACTAAAAAGCTTCTACACAGTGAAAGAGAAAATATTTGCATGTCATACATGTCATAGGACTGATAATGAAAATCCACAAAGAACTCATACATCAACAAAAATAATATAAACCCAATTTAAAAAATGGGCAGAAGAGGGGCCCTCCCTGGTGGCGCAGCAGGTTAAAGCACAGCATTGAGATGCTAAAGCCACCTCAACATGAGCTCGATCCCCGCCCCGGGAGGTGACCACATGGCTGCAGACCTCTCCTGGCCTGCCCGCTGCTCCCTTCAGCAGTGTGCTTTTTTGATCTGCCTGTTCTGCTCCCCACTCTGTCTCTGGTGAAGCCTCTTACAGGCGCTGCACCTCTGACCTGTACTCTAGTTCTGTATGCACAAATAAATAAATCTTTAAAAAAAAAATGGGCAGAAGAGCTAATTAGCTTATTCTCCAATGAAGACATACAGACAGCCAACAGGCATATATATATATATATATATATAAAGTTCATCACTCATCAATTAAATGCAAATCAGGACCACAGTTAAGACCAAGAGATGTCACCTTACACTTGTGAAAATGGCCCATATGGAAAAAACAACCAGTTCTGGCAAGGATGTGGAGATGATGGAACACTTCTCCACTGTTGGTGGGAATGCAAGCTGGTCCAGCCCAGTGGACAGTATTTCAGTATATTTAAAAGGGATCTGAAATATGGCCCAGCAATTCCACTCCTAGGAATCTACCCCCAAAATTCAAAATTTAAAATTCAAATATTAATTTGAGAGAAAAGTTGCTCTCTCATGTTTATTGCAGCACTACTTACAATAAACATTATAGACACAACCTAAGTGCCTAAAGCCAATGAGTAGATGGAGAAGATGTGGTTTATATCCACAATGGGATATTACTCAACAATTAAAAAAAGACAAACTCATGCCATTTGCGGCAATATGGATAGAAGTAGAAGGAATAATGCCAAGTGAAATAAATTAGAAGAAGAAAGATAAATATCAGATGGTGTCAATTTCATGTGAAATACAGAGAAACCAAACTAAGGGTCAGATAAAAAAAAAGCTCAAAAACTTGAAAGTTGACTATAAACTGAAGCATCAAGAAGGGAGGAAAAGAGAAGGGATAAGGGGGAGAACAAAGAAGGACGCACAAAGGACTATGGGTGATTTGGTGATAAGTGCACTACAGTGGCAATACCTGGGTGGACCTACACTCCCAAAATAACAAACAATATGAAAGCCAATGTTACCCCAATTAAAAGAATAAATTTAAAATTAAAATAAGCAATTGCTCCTATTGTGCTAGAGGCTAAACATATAAAATTTTATCATAGTGACATACAGAAGTCTAGATATTTTAATAGGTGATTTGTACTCTCACTAAGAGCTGATTTAACGAAACACACACGTCAGCTTACCCAGCACTTCCTCCTCGTACGAGCCCTCAGCGCTGCTGCAGCCAACCTCACAAGATTCTCGCTGTGGGAGACAGTAGCACACCGGTCAGTGCAGCCTTGATACTGCTTTTGCAGATAAACGTCAACTAGATTTTGAAATACGAACGCCAAGCCTATAAGTACATCTGTGTATCATTTCAACAGTCATTCTTAACGTTCCCTCCTGTTAGTGGGATGCATCAGCACCTTTCAAACTTTGTGATCATACCTGATGATAAGAAATGCACTTAACAAAAAACACTGGATGGGGGAGGAGAGGTATCTCAATTCTTGAAAGAGCCCCCCCCTTTTTTTCTTTTTAAATGATTTTATCGAGATATATTTCACATGCTATAAAATGCACACCGTTTTAGTGTAGTCACAAAATTGTGCAATCATCCCTACAGTCTAATTTTAAGTCATTTTCATTATTCCAAAAAGAAATCCCATACCTGGGATGCAATGCTATTTATTCTATTGTGTTTCCTTTTGTGATTTGTAGCTCACTAAACCCTCTGACTGGCGACACCCCACATTTTGAAAAAAATCAAGCTCAACAACACAATTAAATATTTGCCATCACAGTCTAAGGTTCTGAGCTAACCACCTAAATCTCCAGTCTAAATCCCTATTTCTCATATACCCATGCCACCCTTGAAAATCTTTAAATTGGCTAGTAATTTCATAGTAACTGACATCTTAGTAGGTAGTATAATACCAATGGTAAAATATAAAGTCTACAAAAATTTAGGGATGATTAACATTTTACCATTAATGAAAATCGGAATGAACATTTTGAGATACAAACTTCCTGCAATTTTTAACAGATCTATTAAGATTAGTTACAAAAAATAAAATGGAAAAAAGATACACAATAGAATCCCGATCAATCTTTCTGTTTTCACTTAGCTTTTCATTCTAATACCTAGGAAAAGAAACTATTGTTTCTCAAGCTAATTGTGGAGTCACAGCACAATGCTTTACCTCAAACATCTCAGGCAGACAATGGCTGTGATTTGCAAAAACTCGCTGTAAAATGTTTGATCTGTGCACGTCAGGGAAGTGGTACCTGATAAAGCCAGGTTTGCTTAGTTAAGGATTAATTTAAATACCTCAGTTTGGGCTCAAGATTATTTGACTTAAGAGCTTATTTACTTTTCACATGCACATTGCAGATTCTAGTGAAATACATTTAATGTACTCATTGACTACAAAGAATAAATATGCCAAGATGGTCACAAAATTATCATGTAACATGGGTTTGTTTTTGTTTTTTTTCACACAAAAAAATGAGGAACAAGAAAATAATCATGTTTATTTGAAAATATACCTAGGTCTGACTATCAGAAAAATTGGGCTTATTTTTCCTGTTTTTTCAAGGGAAAATATATAATAAAATTCATTGTAGAAGGTTAAATGTTCTTCATTTTCTTCATTAAGATTATATTTTTTTCCCACTTTACTAAGATGCAATTGGTATATAATATTGTGTGAGTTTAGGTATACAGTTTGTTGATCTGTATATTTAAATATTTCAAAGTGATCAATACCACGTAGCAATAACTAATACATCCATCCATAATTGCTGCTTCTTTTTTTTGTGATGAAAACATTTAAGATCATTCTTTTAGTAACAATCAAGTGTAAAAAATAGTAAAATTGCCTATTTATATGTGGGTCGAGTTTTCCTGTTTGATGTCTTCTTAGCCAACTCCCACCCCATTTATTCCCAAAGAAAAGTCATTTAAGTACAGAGTAATCATAGTTTTAAATAAATAAAAGCCTATTCTATTTAATGTTCTGGTTAAAATTTCTATTTTACAAATATGTACTTCCTCAGATAACATAAGATAATTCTCCTTTTCAAGGACATTTAAATAGAGTGCAAGATAGATTTTAAACAAAAATAATATAGACCTGATATCAGATAATCTAAAGTTAATTCTGAAGGGTATAGAATCCAGGACAAGTAACTAGTTGTGGAAGACTGAGTAGCAAAAGATGAAAACCCCAAGGTGTTCTGCAGGAGAGGTTCTGAAAGCCGAGTACAATATAGTGGGGGTGGCCGGCCAGGATGGGAGGGCTGGCAGTGGGGATCCGGATGGATTTGCACAGCTGACCTCAGCAGGAAGTCCTGGTGGTCATAGCAGTGAATAAAGCTGTGCCTCAAAATGTTGCTGGAGAAGTTTGTTGAATAAGGAAGAAAATTGCAACTAAGGTGTTTTCTTTTAATATGCTGTATTTAATAATAGGACATATGTTTTACAGGGGGAAAAAAATCAGCTGAGCTAAAGCTTTCCCTAATGTGCCCCTCCTCCTACCACCCTTTCCCAACCAGGTTCCAGAAATGACAGCATTTCTGGAATAACATGCACGTGTATCTGTTAATGTATGTATACACCTGCACATGCATGCATTTATATATGCTCATAGACATATAAAACCAGAAAAATGTATGTCAAAGTGGAATTGTACTATCAGTTTTATACCCAGAGTCATAGCACACCCAGAAAGAAAGTTTCTATGGACAGAGGGCTCAGGTTTCTTTATTTTCATCTTAAAAGCTTTTTTAATAACAAGAGATAAAATCTGATGATTGATGACATCATTATGTAAACAATTGCCACCTTACCTCATAAACAGTGACATAGGTCCCATTCTATAGGAAAAAGGAAAGAAAGTAAAACTACTTAAAATTCTAACACCATAAATAACATCAACAGCACTTAGCTAGACATTTCTTGCCCTACCATTGACACCCACAAAGAGGGGAGTCGAGAGCAGGACCATCATTCCAGGCAGGCCATTAGAAAAAAAGCTGTGAAATCTTGTTGTTTGCATCATGGGAAAAACAGAGACATATGAGGCCTACTAGAAAATTCCAGTCAACTAAAAGGTATTTCTTTGGTGGACCAGATTAAGGGTGATTGGACATGCCCAGGGGAGGTGAAATCTGAAATGAAAACCACCGACAGTTCTGGGTAGCAAAGTTTAGCAAGTTCCTCTATCCAGACCAGCTGCTTCGGCGTCCACTCTGCTTCCTGCAGAGTGGCCGGCAGCCAGTGGTGCTGCCTTTTCATTCACTCAGCAAGTGCTATGTGAGCACCTGCCTTGTGGCCCTCCTGTGGTAAGTGCAGGAGACATCGTGAGAAGACCAGAGCATCCCAGCCAACACACTTATTAGTCAACTTTTAAGAGAATCAGTATAAAACAGAAACATGATACTTACACACTGGAGAGCACAGCTTTCCTGATCACTAGAGTTCCAAAAATGACATCCTTGGATGCACTGCAAGAGACCATAAGACACAGTGGTCAGTGAAGAAGTGTGACCTTATCTTGTCACCTCAAAGTTCAACACAGTGACCAAATTTGTTTAAAAATAGAAAGCTACCTAGGAATCCATGGCCTCAAAAGGGTCAGACCCTTTGCGGTTTTCAGTATGACCATCACACCAACAGACAGAGAGGCCATGGTGTGCAGGGTGACAGGTTGCTCTATGGAGGTTAGCCTGGGGCAGACAGGCCCATAACCCAGAGAGCATCACCCTCTTGAGAGCATCACACTGTGCCCTGGGTGATTGGCAGCAGGAAAAGCCCAGGATAAGGAGACATCAAGCATGGGTCCTCAGTGTGTCCTCATGTGACAAGCAAAAGTCAGAGCTGGAGACTCACCAAGAAGGTAACAGATCAAAGTCTAAATAGGGGCAAGATAGGAAGTCAGCTGCTCACCAGCCAGCTTTCACCCCACAGCTCCTTAAAACTTTCACCAAAGCTGCCTTGACCTCCTACTGGACAGACTGGACCTGTTTCCTCTTCCCCTAACTTGAACTTTTCCTGTACCTGTGATCATATTGGTCTTCCCACCACAGAGCCAGGTGACATCTGCTTCTGCTCCTCCTTCCTCCCAGTCCCTTCTTTTTTGTAATTTGTCTTTTGCTTTCCCTGCTCTACAGGTTTGTGTCCTAGCCCCAGCTCTTTCTCTTCTTGCTTTTCAAGTTATCCAAGAGTAAGCTCATCTACTACCTCAGCATTGACCTGTGTAGTTCTCAAAACCCTCAAATGTGTTACTTCAACTAAGGTTCCTCCTCCAAACCAGAATATCAAAGTGTACATAAAGCATCACCATTTTATGCATACAAACACTTCAAATTTAGCAGGTGAAATATTAAATTGCTCATCATCTACTTCAATTTCCTTTCTTCTGGGTTTCCCATTAATCAGCTGTTATCTTCTGACTGTCCCAAGCCAGGAATGAGGGCATCCTCTCTTTCTCACCCCATCAACCCCTGAGAACAATCTGTCACCAAGTCCTATTTTGTCTTCAATAACTGAATCCAGTTGAGTTATTTACTCATCACTGCCCCTGTTTTTCTTCTGTGCCTACTGCCATTTGCCAGTAGCTTCCATGAGACACCTCTCATATTTCCACATTTGGAGTTTTCATTTTAAAACAAAAACTAATCAGACCCTTCTTGTACCTAAGCTGTGTAAACCAAATTCCCAAGTATGATACCCAGTGCCCACCATGATCTGAACCCAGCTAATTTATCAACTTTATCTTCTACCTCCCACCTTCCACACAAACACCACCCTGTTTTTCAGTGACAATGAGATATTCTTTCCTGAACAGTTAGGCTACTTCAAACTATCTTATCTGGGTGCAATGGGCCCTTTTCCTTCTATTCCTTCTAGAAAACTCTCCACCTTTCTAATTTTAGTTTGAAAGCCACACAGGTGGAGGTGCTTGTCCTATCATGAGTTCTCTTTGTCCCTCACACTCAACTGCTGTTCAGACGCTCACAATGCTGCATGGCCACAGTTTTCTGTGTGTCTTTCCTACAAGGTTGAGGGTCTTTTAAAACAGAGAACCTATTTTTTTTTTTCTTAAACCTGCCTACCCAGCACAGTGCATAGTTCATACTGACATTTTGAGTAATTAAGCACTCGAGTCAATAACTATAGATTGAGTCAATAGCTAAAGTAATAAAACCATAAATGCATTGTTAGCAGAAAAAAAAAAAACAACATTGGCGACTGTTGAATCCAGTCCTCTTAAAGAAACATAATAAAACTTAGTCTTGGAAATTTAGTAAATAATTTATCCAAAGCTACATAGCTATACAGAGTGAAAATCATGAATTTTGATAAGAAGTGCCCTCTTAAGTCCCGCCCGTTTTTCTCTTCAACACGATGTCCATGACTTCATTTTCAAATATTCAGTCTTTGGACTTCTCACTATTTTTGACTGAATTCCTTTATCAGAGACAAGTGAGACTTTACTTAGAAAGTGTTATTAAAACCTAATCTTTGACCCTTTGTTACCAATTCACGCACTGTGACACAAACTCCCTGGTTACTCACCGGTTCACTCAGATTATATGGTGTTCCACTGTCAAGCTGCCGATCCTGAAATGAAGGAGATAATAACCACCAGCTACCAATACTATATTTAAAAATAAATAAATAAAAAGCTTTCTGGAATAGGGCTGCCTCTTTGGTAATTTATAACTATCAAGTAAAGAGTCGTGTGTTTAAAGGTTAGTAAGTCGGTCATGAAATTAGACAAAATGTTAGAAAAATACAAGATGTAATGTCTGAAAATTCTACAGAAATGATAAAGGTAGGAGTGGGGATATGGCTTTAAGGAGGAGTTAGGGAAACTAGATAATCCCACATTATTAAATAAACCCATGGTAGAAATTAACTCCAGTCAAAGGACTCCAGGGTTAAAGATAATTACATTCAGAGGTTTCCCTTTTTTAAGAGCAATTTTATAGAAGCAGTGAAAAAATGCAAATTCAGAGTTTTAAGTAAACAGCAGATTGTTTTTCACATTCACAAATTTTAAGACAATTTTATGTGCTGGGAATAAAAGAAATAGAGCTAAGGAAGCAAGAACATTACTCCTCCTGGTCACTAACTAGTCGTTCATAAACAGAAGGGCTCACAGTACTGCATCTGTGACAGTCACATATAAATGAAGATAGCCTTATGCAGGTAGGATCTGATTATCAACTAGCCTTGCTGATTGACTTAGAATTACAGCCAAATGAAAACTACATGAATATGTCTAGTAACTATAATTGGTGTTGACCAGACCCTTCCCATTGAAAAGTGATTAACACAGCATAGACCATCTGTCCTCAGCTGACACAGTACTATTTGCAAGATGTGTCCCAGGAGATCACAGAAAATCCAAAGGGACCTGGGGAAGAGGTTGAAGCATCTGTTGTGGCTGTTTGAACAGCTAGTGCTATTCAGAGGAGAGAAACAAGAAGTTCTTCACTAAGCTCACTGCACTCTCAGCCCTCTCTTCCATGTACACACCTTCCATTTTGCTTTCACTCTATCCCAGCCACTGGAGCAGTACCTCATAGATGTTCGATAAACATAGGCCGAAGTAACATGAACTCAGGATGACCCGTGACAGAGAGATATCCCAGAAGTCCAATCCAGTGGCCTGGCATTGTAGGGGGACTACTTGAGAAGTCATCAAACACAGGAACCAGGGAAGGAACACTGGAGAACTTCTTTCCCTGTTGCTTGAAGTGTGAATGAAGAGCCTCTACTCTCAACTCCCTAACCACTTATATTTGTAGGGAAGGGAGAAAGTGGATGCTTAATAAGTTTTTCTTTATACATAAGTATCTGAAGAGTAAGAAATGTTTCTGTTAGATTAACCATGCAGCTTCATACTTCGTAGTACTTTCTGTGACTTTAATCAAAGGAAGCTTTTGATTCTGCTTTATATGACTGAAACACAACCATATAAAATCAAATCTAAGATAATGTCTTTGCAATTACTTGTTTTCCTAGCCCCTTAAAAGTGTAGGCTAGCTCATAAATTCATAAGGGTGGGCCCAAATTAACTTTGGTGTTCCATTTGAAGTAAAAGGACAAAGATGTGTCTTGATGACTGTAAAGTCTCACTGTGTGAGCACTTCTGTGATCAAGTCTCAAGATCAGGTTCAATAGACTGACAATGCCACAGATGGAACTCATAGGGATTATGCTAAGCAAAATAAATCAGGAGGGAAAAAGAAAAATATTGGATAATTTCACTCATATATTCTACTCATGTGGTTTAAAGAAACAAAAGGACAAATAAAGCTAACCCAAAATAAATCCTAGAGATTTGACTGAATAGTTGAGGGAGGAAGAATGTGAGGAGCAAAGGGGGGAGGGGTGCAGTGGACTATGATGGAAGTACTAGGCCTTTGGTGATTCTGAAAAAGTGTGAATCCCTGTGCCCCAAACATACACAGTGCTGGAAATTGTTGTTATCTGAGAAATATCAAACAGTCAATTAAACAGTATAAATGGAGTGCCCATCAAGTGATCTTAGAAGTGGAAGTAAGTCCCATGAGTAAGGTTCATGGGGTCATACAGAAATAGATTTGGTAGCACTCTTCTCTATTCTTTTTTTAGCTCCTTCCTTCTCCAACTTAACATTTTAGTGAGAGATTCCTGTTCAAGGCACTCTTGCAAGTGTTTGACAGAGTATATTATTGAATGTTTCAACAGCACTAATAAGTAAGAACTATTACTAAGTCTATTTTATAGATAAAACTCCAAGGAGGTTTAATAAATTACACCAAAATTTCAGGTTTAAGGGTGGGGGTTGGAGAAGGGCAGTAGGAAGGAATGCTGCAGGCCTGTGCTTCCTTCATCTGCAACAAATTCACCTTCACCACCTTGGCGTTCAGATCCTCACCAGTTCACCTGGTTCAATTAGCTGCTTAATATACACAGTGTGAGTCCGGATCTTAACACCTACGTCTTGGCACAAGCTTTCCTATCCTGCCTACACCAGCCGGAACTAAGTTCATTCTTGACTTCCTATTCTGATGAAAGAAACAGAGCAGAATGGGCTGCATTTTAATCCCTAGTAACACTTGCTCCCTGGTGGGATATTTAAAAGTTAGCTGTGCTACAGCTGGTAGGAATGCAAACTAGTACAACCACTATGGAAAACTGTTTGGAGGATCCTCAAACTGCTAAACATGGAGCTTCCCTATGACCCAGCAATCCCACTCCTATGTATCTACCCAAAAGACACAAAAATACTGATTCAAAAAGATACCTGTAGCCCCATGTTTATTGCTGCTTTATTCACAATTGGAAAAACATGGAAGCAGCCCAAATGCCCCAAAATGGATGACTGGATTAAAAAGATGTGGTCCATATACACAATGGAATATTACTCAGCAACCAAAAAAAAAATGAAACACATGCCTTTTGCAGCAACATGGATGGAGCTGGACAAGATCATGCTTAGTGAAATAAGTCAGAAAGAAAAGGAAAAATATCGGATGGTTTCTTTCATAGCAGGAGTATAATGGAAGAGGCGAGAAAATAATGATAATGATGAGCAGCTATATACCAGAGACATTTTGTGGGGGTGGAGTGGGGAGTGGGATCAAAAACAGTGAGGGGAGGGAAATGCACTGGACTATACTGATGGCACATGGGTGATTTGGTGATAGGAAACCCAAGGGATTACAATTGACATGGAAAAATGCACAAAAATATGTAAAAATAAACTATTATTAAAAGTTAGCTGTGCTAAATTTTCAGATGAGAACTATGTTCTGATCTGAGAAAGATCTGTATGATATTTATTTCATAAGGTTCTGTGAGAAGTCAATGTGTTAATTACTATCCTATAGTGCCGGGCACTTAGAAATTGACTGCTAATGTTGTGAGCAAACTTGCTATAAACAGCCCTTAGGCATACATATCTTTGGTTCTGTTAAGCAGTTACTGTCTCAGAGAAATGACTTAATATACATGGTTAAAGGTATCATTTTCCTTTTTAATTTTGTTATTTATTAATCTCTTGTTAAAGGCAAGCTATCAGTTTATTTCCTAACTACAGTACATGAAAGTGCCAGCTTATCCAAGCTGTGCCAACTATAAATGTTTTTATCTTTGCAAAGGTAACAGAAAAGTTGATAACACTCTTTAACTTTACAATGGTATGGTAGCTATGAGATTGGACATCAGTCCCTTGCTTTTTGACTACTTGTACTCTTTTTAAAGTAGCACTTAATAGTCTAAATGTGTTTTTTGTATGTATATATAAAGACTGGCAAAATTTGTTTATCTTCTGTAATACTTTCCCATTTTTGACTTAGTTTTTATTGTATTCTGCTTATTGTTAAAAGTTTCCAATCAATCAAATTTTCAATCATTTCTTTTATGTATTCTAGATTTCTTTTAAAGTAGCCTTCCTAAAGCATTTTGACTTTGGGATTATAGAAATAGTCACCCCTAATTTATTCTAATATTTTTGTAGCATAAACTCTTATTTTGTCTGGCTTTGTTATTTGTCAATTATAGCATTCAAATCACACTATTTTAATGCTTTCTGGAGTGTATTTGAATCTGGTAGTGATACAGAGAGTGTGTTACTTTGTAAAAGAATTGTGTACCTTTCTTTTTAAAGATATTTTCAAAGAAAGTTTAAATTTACAACAAAAGTGAGAATGAAAAAGAGGGATTTCTAATACATTCCCTGCCCCCACTCATGTACAGTGTCATCATTATCAATATCACTCACCAGAATAGTACATTTTTTTACCAATGATAAAAACTAAGTCCAGAGTCTACTTTAGGGTTCACTTTTAGTGTGGTATATTCTATATATTTGGACAGATGTTTAATGACATATATTCATGATTACATCATGCAAAGTATTTTCACTGTTCTAATAATCCTCTGTGCTCTATTAGTCTCTGTTACCACTACCACAACACCACTTCCCAATCAGCCCCCATCATTGTCAACCATTGATCTTTTATCTTCAGAGTTTTGCCTTTTCTAAAAGGTCAGGATTTCCAGAATATTGGGATCATATCACATCTAACCTTTTTGGACTGCTTTCTTTCAGTTGGTCATACGCAAAGGTTTCCTTGATGTCTTTCTATGACATGATAACTTCTACCTCCTGATCTCTAACTACTGCAATAATCCATTGTCATTGTTTGGATGTATAACATTGTATTTAGCCATCAGCTTAATGAAGGAGGTCATTATTTGTTATTTTGAATAGATTGTTCTACTTAATTTAGAGTTATCTTTATCCTATCCAACTCTCTTATGTAAAAGATTTTACTTCTAGACTATATTCTGCTTTACCAGTTTGTTTATTCCCACACTAATGCAAGCTATACTAATTTCTGGATTTTTTGTAAAATTTTTGGATTATGGCTTTGTTCCATACTTTTTATAAAGCTATATATTAATATACAAAAAAAAGTTGTTGGCATTTGTTTATGTTTTTAAAGGACAATCTTCTGAACTTCATTGTTTCTAATATTCCTTTATTGAATTGATACTTATGATAGAGCATTTCTTAACACCAGTTCTTAGGTCATTTTTTTACTTTCAGGGGTTTTTTATTTTTAAAAAAAGGTGGGTTTGTTGTTGTTGCCAAAGAAGATCAGAAAATTGTGATTAAACAAAGCTGTTAACATACTGTTATGCCTTGTGGATCCAGTAGAAGAGGATATGACAGAATTCACTTCTATAAACTATTTAACCATGAATCCTTTGGTTTCTTTTTCATAAAGGACCACACAATACTGGGCTTTTTTTGTTTGTTTTCTGTAGCACATGGCATATATAATTCAAAATATTAAGTCATCTAATACATTCAACTAATACATAGATTCCTGAATTAATACAAAATGCCCTGGCTCAAGCATAGAATTATGACTTGTGCATTTCTTGGACAGCAATTCTAATGTTCCTTTGCATGAAACTATTTGTGTATTTTTTAAAAGAAGAGATGTTGTTCAACATCAAGAACAGCTCAGTGAAATCAGAGAAGACCTTCACAGCAAATATCCAGACTAACAAGGATGTACTTAAGAGAAAAATGCAAAAAGTAAAATGCACTCAAGCACTTTACACATCCTGGCACCTGCTCCTCCACTGAGTTCCCTGTTCCTTCACCTAGGCTTTGTCCCCCAACCAGCCCCTGTGTGGGAGGCCCAGATGGAGAACATTCATTACAGTCACTAGTCAAATTGGCAGACCATGACTCTGGCTGTGGCCACCACATCAACTGTGCTCGGCTCTGTAGGTGGTGAACGGAAGGCAGCACAACAAAAGAACAAACTGTCTAATCTGACTGAAACCCTGAGCCCACACAGAAAGAAAAAACTAAACTTAATTAAAATAAAATGGAGACTGCAAGAATGGAAATGACCGACTTCAGTTCTGGTAGCAAGGAAATTAGCAAACAACATGATGGGACATTCTAAATATATTGATGATCTTGTTTCCCAAAAACTGCAAGTTACAGGAGGACACTCACAATATGATGGTAAGTGAAAGGGCTGTGTACACAACCATGTGTAAAACTGTATATATGGCTAAGGGGAAAAAAAATGAAAGAAAATACAATCTGAGTCTAATAGTGGTGGAATTATAGCATTTTCTCCTTTATTTGTCTCTATTTCTTCTTTACCCAATAAATACATATTCTACTGAATATGTATTTTGTTACAATCAGAATAAAACTAACAAAGAAAACATTGAAGAGTTCCATTCTACTAGTCTAAAATTTGCTTTACAACTGCAAAATCCTAAAACATCATCAACATTAATGGCACAGATTCATATAAAATATCAAATTTTTTACAAGTGCTATTACTCATAATAAGCCTAAGTAGCATTTCATCCATAGTTTGAATTAAACCAAAGGAATCTAACAGTGATCATTTCTTTTTGAATCTATCACAGACTTCCATCTCTAATACCATGTTTGGTATTTTTGTTATTTAAAAAAGGATTACTATAAAAACTAGCATATTTTCAATAGCTGCTTTTTCCTTTGCCTTTACTTATATAAGAAGAGTGTATTTTTCCTTGACTAGAGCACCTGTGGTTTTAAAAGCTGATTTAGTGACTGTTCTCATAATAACTGAAAAGATAGATACAATGTAGAGAGGAAGGGTGACACTCAGAAATTAGAAAGCAAACATAAATTTCTAATAAAAAAATCATTATAAAGATATATAAATGCAATATATATATAAATATATATATATATATATAAATGAATAGAAACAAATAAAGGAATTTACCAAGAAAAAAAAAGAAAAGAAATAAAGGCATTGACAAGCAATTTGTGCTTTAAAAATCAAATGCCCTCTATGGGATCTGCATCAGTCTTCAGGGTCATACACCTGCCGGTACAATCATCCTTCCACATATAAATAGTGCTGCTGTTTGCAACCAGAAGGCCCTGCCTTGTGGCCAAACCTATTTCATACTTTAAGACAAATTTAAATGATTTTGTAATAAGTGAATATACATTTATATTTTTAAAATATGAAAAGTTGACTTTATTTAAGCCTCCTTTGTCCAAATCCTTTGTCCAAATCCGAATCTATGAACAGTTAATTTTAAAAAAGCACTGCCCTACCTTCTTTAATTATAAATGTTCCTAACTTATTTTGCAAAAATAATCTCTCTTTTCTTGACACCACTTCTCATCAGAGAACAACTATAAAGAGAAATAAATGAATTATAACAATCTGTGTTCAACATCTTCCAGTTCATGCAAAGACAAATAGTAGACCAGTAAAACTTACCAGATTAGTTACACACGATTTTAGGCAGCTGTTGAAAGCTGCACACTGTGCCACAGAAATCCATATGCAGCCAAGTGTTGCAAAATTGACAAGTTGCCGAATAAGCCAGAGAAGCTTCTTCATCACTTCACCAATGATAAGTTATTAAATTACCGTTTTCTCCATTTCATGATATGAATTCTTTGGGCTTCATTCCGTCAGTTGAAAGCAATGTGTCAGAATACTGAGATATTTTAGTTTAGACCTTTGAATCCTAAATAGCTTGTAACATTCACATAGCAGCTATTTGATAACTTGACTTCCTTATACTCCCATAAAGAAAGTCACCCACTGACTAAAGGTTAGGCTTAGAAGAGCACTTCTCATGGAAAGTAAACAAAGTGGAAAGGCACACTGCATCTCCGCAAGCATGTGACACGTGCAGTCTGAAACTAGAATGCTCTGGCGGGTCATCCACTACTTCACTTCCTTGAGGTTGGATCAGCTCTGCAGGAAATTGGGTTTTGTCCTTCAGGGCATTAGCAAACAGTAAGTGACACTACCTTAACCAAGTCTTATTGGAAAAATAAATGTGCCTAAATCAAATTCTGCTGTAGGGGGAAAAAACAGATCCATTTGTAACCAAAGATATATTTAAAATGAAAAAGAAAACAAAGCTAAAATAAATGGACAAGCATCCTGAGAGTGAGTTCCAGACAAGGAAGTGTATTAGAGTACTTTCAGAACTTTACTACATATTAACTAAAACACTGTCTTATCAGGTCTATTAAGACACAGAGCTGAAACTCACCACCATAGAGACCTCAGGTGGCTGGCTGGGCAAAGAAATCATGTACAAAATTTCAGTTAGCCTAACATCAAGATTAAAGTTAGGTTAAAAAAAAAGAATTTGAGTATGCAAGGAGCGTTAAGTTAGTCATGCTAGATCATTTTTGACATGGCCCAGGGTTAGTAATTTAAAACCAGATAGTTTTTGTGTTAGTGCTCTTTCATACAACAATCTAACATATTTAATAAATTTCTTGTCTTCTTAATTAGCTTATCTCAAAGCTAGTTTAGCCTATTAATGGCATAACTCTCATTGGAAACAACACATACCTATGATTCTGTTTTGAGAACATCTTTAGCAGATGTTGACAAAGCTGATGTACAACATGAAGTTGTACATCAATAGTACCCACTTCATGACTGACCCTAAAACATGTTTTCTTATAATAAAACAAACCTGCTGTCTATCCACTATTTGTTCATTCTCTATATCTTAAAGAATATACATAAAGAATACACAATTGGGTTTTTTTTGTTCAGAAAAATATGGCTATTTTTCTATAAAACATTAAATCAGAGAATAAACTATTGTGCCTAGGAGACTGTTCATCCTAACCAAATTTATCTTCACCATTGTTACCACATCTTTACCCTTATTAACACAACTAATACTTGGACTTTTACTTTACTAACAAGAGGGACACCCAAGTATTTGTTTGAAAAGCTGAGTACATTCTTTTTACTCATTTGATCTAATTTTATTGGTGGGACATGAACAAAAAGAAATATTTCTTCTAAATTTCCTTTGACATAAAGTTTTTGCCAATATCACCTCCTCTGGGACATCTTCATCTTTATCATCACAACCACTTTTCCTGTTTATGTTGATTAATTTTCCTAAACCTAGGGTTTCAATCCTACTGTTGGTCAGAATTTGAGGCATCTTCAATCCATGGATGAAGACTGCATCATTGATTCACTTATTGAGATACTACTTGGAGTCTGGGAGTCCATAAACTTGTGCTAGGCAGAGCACTAGATATAAGTAATCTTCACAATAATCTGCCCTGACACCTTTTCCCCATGCACTGGCTGCTGGCCTAACTTTTTCCAGTTAGAGGCATTGGTTTCCAAGGTGAATATTAGGGCTTCACATGCTGGGGCCCCTATGCTTGGCCCTCACCCTGCCATCCTTAGATTTGTGCCAAGTACTTCTACACTTCTTAATTTTTCTTTCCTAAAAAAAAAAAATGTGGCTTTTTATATATTAAATCTCCTACATATTTTCATTTTTTGAACCTTTTAAACCTCATTATAGATTAGAAGGCATTGTGTCTTAGTGGCAGATATTGCAAGAGATTGTGACCAGATATAGGATGACCATTTAAAAGTTGTATCTAGAAGTGGCCCTTTCTAAAACTTTTTGAAAAGTTTATGTAAAGCTGAGTTAGTAATAAAACTAAGAGGTTTTCAAAAGCAAACTGAAACTCCTGAGCTTTTTCCTCTTCTGCCAGTCTCCAGACAGAGGAGCCAGAAACTCCAACAGGGTTTTCACTGTTTTCCTCTCTCCAGAGTACAGTAGCCCTAGCCTTTGTGCACAGGATGGTTCTTCCTTCACCTAAGGAGCTTGAGGCCAGTCACCCCACTGTTTTAGGCAACAGCACCAATGTGCTCAAAGATCACACATACACACCTCTGCCATCACCACCGCCTCCTGGACGAGAATGACTGCTGATTCAAGCCCTACTTTACGCAGGAACTATGTGGACAGGAAAAAGAAAACAGCTACCTAATACAGAAGATGGGCAGAAGGCAGCACAAGCAAGGATGGGACTGGGCAAGGAAACTCAGTGAGAGAAGAGACTCACGGAAGGGGTCAGAGGCCTATGAAAACCAACCTCTGTGACTTTTGTCTTTCAGTGAAGTCCGCACACTTTAAGAAATATGTGGTCATACTTGTAAGTATTAGACCATGAGTGATATGGGATAAACTCCAAATTGGCCTCATTACAGATACTGAGAAACCAATACAAGTGGGGGGTGGGGGGAAGCCTACTAATAACTAATTATATCATTTATGATTCTTTACTCAGTATGGCTCATTAGTCTGAACGCAAAACCAATTAGCTTTGAACACTAACTTCAGATTTCAATATGTTCTTCCAAGAATACATTGAATTTCACATAGGAAAGAAAAGAATAGGATCATTCAGATTTCTTTCATTCCTTTCTTTCTAACATTACTGCCCTGTCAAAAAAGTTTGTTCATACATCAGGAAATAGTTAACCCATAGGGAGAGTCTAGTGTATTTCAATGCATTTTAATTCTCTTATTCCCCACAACAGGTCCCTAACACCAAAGCTTCACTGTCTCCGAAATCGCTGGAACATGGATTCCCCTATTAGCCTGTGCCTGATCCTGGCTCCAACTCTGAACTATGTGGCCTTAGGAATTACTTAAATACTGTCTGCCTCAAGTTCTTTGCCTATAAATGGGAATGACAGATTCAATTTCAAAGTTTTAGCAGCTGTCACATGGTAAGTTCTTAATTCTTTGCAGGTTTAAGAATTTTATCACTGGATATTCCAGTTGTTCAGTTCATTGGTTAAATTAGTCATCATAGCAAGCCCCAGTGGCCTAATGGATAAGGCACTGGCCTCCTAAATGAGTCATCATAGTTTGTTGAATGAATAATCAATGGTAATTGGGTACTTCCTATTTACAGCAAGACACTGTAAATATGGTAGCGTAGTGACCAAACAGATAAAAATCAGATAAAAATTGAGTCGGAGCCAGAAAAGATAAAACAGACATGTATTTAGTTATTTTATGGTAATAAGTTCTAGAAATAAAAAAGGACAAGTTAGCAGGGATAGAGGACTAAGTTATCAAGCTGCAAGTTTAGATACTGTAGCACTGTTAAAAAACAAAATCCAGTTAACTGAATCTGAAGAATTAATTTACTTTAAGATTCGTGATGGCCAGCATCCCACTAGCAAGTGGTGAGGAATTCCATGGAGCTGGAAACACAGGATTTTCTAGACAGAAAGCAAGACTGGGAAAGAGGGGTTGTCTCAGGTAGGTTTAGCTTCATTTGAGTGACAGGTGGGGGTCTACTAAGCAAATTATCTCATTTGTGCTGACAAGGACATCCAGATTGCACAGTTAAAGGTTACATTTCTGAGAGATATTGAAAATGTAACTAGATTAGATATTAAGTCTTGGTTTGCTGATGTGGGAATTAGCACAAGTGACTCCTTTTGGGGCCTGTAGCTTATTTTTCTTTAACAGTATTATATAAATGCTCTATGATTGTGTTTATGATTAAATGAAAAATAAATTGTGACTTATATTTGTGCTTGGAACAGTCTTTGCTAATACAAGTTTATCTGTTCACAAATTTAAAACATTTACACAAGCATTGTTTTCTTTAGCTCTTTGCTTTTCATAAAAGATTTCTCAATATCACTCACATATTTTCAACAGGAACACTTTGACCACTTCTAAGTAAAGGTTACAGGTTAGATCAAAGTGTTTTCTTTTAGTTCTTGTTCCTATTGTGATGCTAAAGTACTGTTTAAACTCACAGAGGATGAAGAACTAGGGAGCTGATTTAAAATTTAGTAAGCGGGCCCTCCCTGTGGGGCAGCAGGTTAAAGCGCAGCACTCTGAAGCTATCCGCAGAAGCAGGAATTCCCATCCAAGGTCAGGGAGATGATCCCACATTGCTCAGCAGACCTCTTCTGACCCTTCAGCTGTACCCCCAGCGTGTGTTTCAGTAGATCCACCAGTTTTGCCCCCCACTCTGTCTCTGCTGCATCATCTCCACTCACACACACCCCTGATATACCCCAGTTCTTGTGTACATAAATAAGTAAATCTTTAAAAAAATAAAATTTAGCAAGCAATTACATGGCTTTTGAAACACTTGTTCTGCATTAATAAACACTGTGATGTATATTTCAGACAAAGATTTCAACTGCTATCAAGAACAAATTTACAATGCAAAATGATAGCAAAACCCTTCTAACTAGGACTATATAATATTCACTTTGCTATTTCAAAGACTGCATTTAGAGAAGATGGTTAGTTAGTTCAAACCACAGACTTCAGAGCTTTAACAGCCAACCATCTGGAGTTCAGTGTACCACTGTCATATCCAGGAAGCAGGCCTGCCCCTCAACAGCCCACTTAGAGGAAACAAACACTTGAGGTTCCTCAGTGAGGATGACTGTTAAAAAGAGAGTCATTAAGGAAAAACGATAAGCTATTTGACTTTATATCTCTATAGATATAGATATCTATAGCTATAGAAATCTATTTATCAGTTTAATTTCCTTGTTTTGAAGTATACATGTTATTCAGTGTGGCTCTGATGGTTTTCTTCTACCATGAGTTTTGAATTGACACACAGTAAACAGTAGCCATGTGAAACAGAAACAAGCCATCTTCCTTAGCACATATTCAGTGAGTACTATCTGTGTAGTATGAGATGTGAAATCATTTATCTGTATTATCTTGTTCTATTCTCTTAAGACTTGATAAAATAATTATTAGTGTACCCATTTTACAGTTGATAAAATTGAGTCCCAAGATGGTTAAAAGATTCTTAGAGTCATAGCTGAATTAGAAATGAAATCTAAATATATCTGATCCTAAAGACCAAACTGTTACATCTGCATTAACACTAACATCAGCAGAAGCACTGACATGGGTATCCATGTTCAACTGTCTTGAGTCAGGTGGGTCAACAGGACTCTTCCTAGCTTGGGAGTAGAAAATATAATCAGTCCTGCTCCCTTTAAGGAGGAACTCTATTTTATTTAGCATTACAATTAAAATTTTAGAGTAACTTTCACCCCACCCCACCCTCTTCCCCCTGCAACCCCCCCCCAAAAAAAAACACAGGAAAGAAATAAGCCATGAATTGCAGTAGAATGTATCCCAATTGTTGTTAGAACAAATCGTTTCTCAATTTGGACATTTGAATAAGGCTCTTTGACAGTAATGATAATATTTTAAGTGTATTATTATCAATTGTGATAGTGTTGGGGGAAAAGGATGCCCTGAATGTGTCGTATCAGGGTTGCCCTGTAACAACAGTAACATTCCTTAAATAAATATTTTAGATTCCACTAGGTGTTTTTCATAATATATGATATGATCTATATATATTGCAGAGAGTTACCTAGATAAAGATCGAAAAACTGAGTAAGGCTCAGGCAGTATACTTGGTTTTGATTTGTTGGGAATTAAAATTGTCTTTATGAACTTAAACTAGAATTTTTGTTTACCTAAAGATGTGTTATTAGATCAGTAAGTTTAACTAGTTAAACTAGTAGTCTAACTAGTTAGACTACTCTTCCCTGAGCTCCAGGATATTGAAAATTTGATCCAACTAATTCCCTTAAATAGATCTGAAATAACTAGACTTCACGGTCTGTTCCAATCAAGACCATCAACTTCACAAGATAACCATGTCATGTTTTTGAAACTTTCTCCTGGGAGAAATTTGATAGCAAAAGAGAATTGATGAATTAAATGGGAATGATATCTGTGTTTGGATTTGAGCTTTTTTGAGTTGCTCATGACAACAAATTTTCTTTTTATCTCCAATTTTGATATTAAAATTCATGCAAATTTAACATTTTATTTCATAATCTAATATTAAAAACAATGAAAAATTGAATTAACACTGTACCCAAATACTTCTAATATTTATAAAATGACAACATAGTTTCAATTTGATATTCTGACATAGTCAAAAGCTTCTAAACTGATACACTATAATAAAAAATAAAAAGAACATAAAATAATTTTGGGTAAAGATGAAGCACAGAACCTCTCAGGTGATACAAAAATATTTTTGGATGATGAATATGGGAATATGGTGAAATTTTAATATCAAAATAAGAATTCCAAAAACACAAGAAGGATGGTTCCTAATTAAGCCTCAGAAGCACTGAGCTAGCTCATTTATTAGAAGAGTTGTCCCAGATACTTTTGATGGGAAGAGGATGTCCTGAACAAACTCCACAAATAGGTTTTATGGACACTATCCCCACCCTAGGCCAAAGAGATCCATGACACCAAGGACTATAAATCCCATATTGTCATCACCACCGAAGGGAGATTGCTGGGAACTGAGGGTGGAGTTAAGCAGCAAGGTTTTGTATATAACCAGACATGTGGGCCTTGGTGGAGGGTGGGGGGCTGTCTTGATTTTTTGCCAGCTTTTAGCATGCTATTGGGGTTCCAGCTCAGCATAACTGGTAGGAGGCATTCACCAACTTATCTCTCTCTTCCTCCCTGAGTTATTTATTTCTTCATATCCCCTTCTTTTGTAAGTAAACCCTTTATTAACCTTTTTGTGTGTGTCTACAGCTGAGTCCTTTAAGTCCCTTTTAAGCAAGGGGGTGAGGACCCACAGTCAGGCCACCCATTTCTCATTGGGGTTGCCCTGTAGCAATACTAAATAAGTCTTATCCAACCCCAGTGTACTGTCTCCAGCCAAGATGACTGTGTGTTCCAGTATTATGTGTTATGTAACTTTATAACAGAAGTCATTTTTCAGTTGCATTTATATCTGCCTTGAATTCTCATTGAGATATTAATTCCAAAAGATTTACTCAATTGTTTGGAGGGAACATCAAAACAACTGATCTCACAAACCGTTGATTTCAAGCCTTAGAATGTCTTCTTCCTCATGCCACCTCCATCCTGTCCCTCTCCTTCCACCTATTTGCCTGGAAACGGAATAGTCCGAGGTTCCAGAGGAACAAGAGAAACTGCCAATGAATCAAGTGAGCCGTTGTGAGGACTGTGGAAGGGTAACTGCCTCCAGCTCAGGGTGACAGCATCACACTTGTCAGGAGTAGACACAGCAGTTTTCTGCTTCCTCAGTTTGTGCTATTAGCCACCTTTGGTCATTCTGTTCAGACCTTGCTGTTGGAGCTATCAGTAACACAACCTTCTGAAATTCATTCTATACTAACCTACAGTGTAAATCGTGCTCCCTTGTTTAAAATACTCTATGCCTTCCCTTTTATTAAGCAAGGAATCCCCAGACTGGAGTAGCTCTAGACCTTTGCTGGCCTATAGAAGCAAACTGAAACCTAAACCTATAAATACCCCTAGGTTAAGAAACACTAATGATGACTGGACATAGTCAACTAGGTTTTTTGCAAATAAGCAGCCACTTAAATAATTTCCTTGCTTTGCTTCCACACATTTTCTGACTCCTGTGGGAAAGAATTCTTCTAACCACGCTGCTTCTTATCAGTGGCAGTTTGGTGCCACCTCATTGGAATTTATATTTGCTCAAGTTAATGTTTACAATTGTTAATATGCATTAGTTGTCTTTTACTATTTCAATATCTAAAATTCCCTAAAATTGATGTGCCTTACAAGGTTCTACTCAGCCTATCTACTTAGCTTTTTTCCCTGTGTTTTTCCTCTACCTCAAAGCTCTAACCAGACAGAACCAGACAGAACTCTCTTTTTTTTCCCAAGTATCACAATGCTTAATAGACACAAGTATATAAGTTCAGGGTCTGAATATAACTTGGTAAATAAAGTAAGCTTAATTTTAAGACTTTAAGAAGGACCAACTCAAATTCTTACCATTTTTTACACCCACAAAAAGCACTTCAAGAGCATTAATGTTCTCTCAAAACTGATCAGTTTTGAGCAACTAAACCATGTTTATTTTAAAAAGACTTGTGCACTTGCCCACGCTCAAGGATATGAAAACATAGCACAGAACACCCATTACTTGAGCCATGAGTACAGGCAAAGTACTATCACAGCAGCAATCATCAATTACAGTTAAAAATTATTTTATAATATGAAAAGTCAAATATTGTCCACCTCAAGATTTACTGGCTCAGTAAATACTGGCTTACAGTATTCAATATCGATAACCAGTTTTCTAACTTAGAACACTCTATGAAAACTGCCAACAAAGTTCCTTGCAATAGACATCTCTGCTTGCGAACTTATGACATAATCATCACATGCTGCTAATATACTATCCGAACATTAAACGTACTCCTAAGTGTTTGATCATAGATAATTAA